TATGAATAGCATAAAATATAGTACTATTAGAACAGTTGTTTGATAATCTTTTGGTGAGAACAGACCAGAGAGCTATGCATCATCTCAGAGGAGGTCCATGGTATCAAATGTTCTATAATAAATTGTCTTGACTTAAACCGATCCTTCCATCCTGCTTTGGTCTGGAGAAAAAAGTTATATTATTTAAATAAGTTTCCTTATTTTACTGCAAGAATAACAGTATAAAAACTAACTACAAAAAATGCAAATTCCTTGCTATAAACGCAATGCCTTTAGAAATGGCAATTTACTTAATGAACATTATTTCCATTATTCAGATTATTGTCCTCATCTTTATCGCCATATTTATCACATTTCGGCTTTTGTACGCTCCAACCTTCTTCAGATGGTTGGAATGTCAAACTGAACCCTTTATTTCGCTCACTGGGGTAGACTGTTCTAGTTCCACGTGCCATGTTTAATGAATGTCAGTTATCTGTTATCTCCTGTTAATTTCCCTTTGAAAATTATCCACAGCCTTAAGCAGGTATTGAACTCACACTGTTTGGGTCCTCTTACTGGATCTAACCAATGCCTTTATCCACTATGCCATGTGTCCTTAATGAAACACTTGTTTCTGTTTATTGTTTGATAACTCCTCTACATTGCGGGTGGGGAGAAAAGTTGTAGGTGTCAGGAGCAAAACATCCATCACCCAACCTTATTCTTAAACAGCTTTTAGTATATTTCAGTTGTTCATAGGCATAAGTACTTCCAAATAATGATATCATTTTCACATGATTCAATAGGATTTTATATTTTCTTATCAGTGTATTCAGAATTAAAATTTTATTTAAAAAAAAATTTGTCACATTTTAAGTTAACTCCAACTGATATTTTTTGTACCACTTGCTCTAAAAATTAATTAGATAATTAATGTCCAGGTATTAAGTTGTTGGGCTGGACAGAAATCCTTCACAGGCCAGATGTGGACCAGAGGCTGGGGTTGCTGACTGCTGTACTAGAGCCTTATTTAAATTATTTACATATAGACTATTGTCTTCAGCTTATTATAATGTTTCAGCTGTCCTTCATCAGGAGCTTGTTGATCATGGTAATTGTCAGTGAATTTCGAACAGACTCCTTTATTTAATCTATCGGAGTGTAGAAGTCAAGTGACTTACCTGCTAACATGGCTGCCTTTGTGTGTCATATTAGAAAAGCAAGCCAGCTAATCTTACCTCATTTATAGGAGAGTACCTAATGCACCAGTTAGGTTGGTCCATTTTGCTAGAATAGATCTACCTAACACATTTGCATGAGTGGTCTCTATTCACCCATATATCTCTCCATTAAATGACTCACGTCAGCTTTTAACTTGTGATTACACTAGTCTACTTGTGTGTCAGACCACTTGCAAGCTAACCAATATTCTACAGAGAGTAGACTGTGTGTCTACTGACAATTGGTCAACCTAATGCCATAGATTAAATAAAGGGTTCAGTTTGAAATTCCCTGAAGGTTAACAAGATCCAGAAGCACCTGAAAAGGAGTGGCTGAAATGTCGTAATGTCATAAAGATGTAGATTGATCAATTCATTTTTTACTGCTTAACAACCCATTGCAGGTTATTTAAAGCCAGGCAATATTTTTAGATTGTAAGAAATCGTTTTTTTTTGGTAGATAATGGTTTAGTGATATAAATCTAATTTACCAATAGTTAGTGGGGGATAAGAGGTAGATTCGTTTCATACCTTTCCCAAGGGTATGTGCACATAAATCAGTGGTTCCTAAATGGTGCAGTGTTTGGAAACTACTGACATGTGCAGCAAAAGAGGATAGGTGTAATGTTTAAAAGACAATCAAAGATTTAGAGATTCAAAAAATTCATATGTCAAAAATAAATATGATTTCAAAATTTAAAATATTATGGATTACTTGTAATTGCATGCATCAGTCCCAGTGTAAATAATTATTGACAGATTTTTTTTCATTGTGATATTTTTACATTATATCAAGTTTTAAGAATATAGTAACCAGAGTCCACAAATTGGAGGAGAGAGTTATCAATGATAATGTTCTGACTTTGAATCCATGGTTATTTCCCTTTAACCCCCTCTCTGTTGTTTTTTTTTTTTTTAAATTTGGTGAGGCATGGACAAATTTTCATTCCAAAAATTTGGCATAGAAAAAATTGGTCACCTATCTAGGTACTAACCATTACTTAATTTTGGTGATCATATAGGAACTAGTATTTCAAAGTGATGTGGCTGTAAGCCAAACAAAGATGAGGAGAATTACACAGCATATAAATAATGGTAACTCCTCATCTCAGAAATTCAGACAGAAACTTCTGGAATTTCGAGGACAAGATATGCAATTGAGACACTCACTTGAGACATAAGATCACTTACAAAATAATTATACAATCAGCCATTAGTAATACTGATTTTGGAGAAACAAGTACAAATCCAGTACAAGTGACGTCAACCAATAGAAACACTCAGTTTTTGAAAAGGTATATTGAATATTGAGTAGCAACTTCAAACATTTAGTGTGCCAAAATATTTCAGAGTATAACTAGAGACCTTGAGGTACTAGTCTAAAAGTATCTGCTACAATCCAACATGGACTAAAACAAGTGTTAGCACGAAACAAATAATACAAAAAGTAAGTAAGATTTAAGTTGGATCATTTACTAAAGGTAATACTGGAAATCAAACAGTTGGCAATGTGAGAAAAGAAATGTATTAACCTGTAGCAATAGACAAAAGTTATCTCTCCTCGACTAAACGAAAATAACAATAAATTTAATTACAAATATTCTGGAGAATTAAAAACAGTCATGTGACATCATTAGCTGGGAAAGTTCCAGGAAGTTTTGTTCCAGGAAGTTAACGTATCAAGACCCATGCATTTCAGGTTCATGACAAACCAAACAGATAAGTACAAAAATTCATATTGTTTTTTGGATATATAGTCTTTTGAAAGTCAATACATGCTAACTTTGTATTAAGAATTTTGAATATATATGGAAAAAGTTATAATTGTTCCAATGAGAGAAAAATGCATATTTTTTTTAAAAAAAAGAGAGAAACTGCAAACATTTTTGGATATAATGTGGATTTGTTTTAGTGTATATATCATATTTTATTTTTCATATTTTTGCTACACATGTTTTCCAGTCTTGTGACTTTATTCAGGCAAATTCTGGTTTCATAACCTCCTTCAGGCAAATATATATATATATATATATATATATATATATATAAAAAGGCATGTGTTTTTATGCAAAGACTTTTGTTTTATTTGAACTTTTTATATATCTATGTTGTTGTTATGTTTTTCATTCACTTTAAATTAGGTCAATGTTTCATATCCATGCACAACAAACCCTTTAAGGCCATGCAGCTTTTAGAACCTGACAATTTGGGAATGTGTGAATGTGCCTGAAGTTGTCTCACACAATATTTCAGTACAGTGTTAACACCAATGACATGATCAACAAGGTGTTGAAAATCTACAATGTTTTGGAAGCCCTCAACTTCTACAAAACCATATCTCATAATTGGTATTACCAATGGGGTTAAACAGTGGATTCTGCTTGAGTTCCATACAATGGAATTTTGGTCCCTAGAACAACTTGTTCCTTTTAAAATGATCTTACCATATATTCTTTTTGGTGCTTCAGAATTCATTATATGACTTCTGTCAATTTTATATGGACATGGGCATTTCAGTGAAGAATATAAGATTCAAGAAGTAACCTGATGAATGTCAATGTTGCACAAATTTCACACAAAAGGAGAAGCAAACACCGAGTCACAAGTCAATGAAAAAAAAAAAGAAGCAAGAATTAAACACCGACACATTATCTAAAATTTATTTTAGATTAAATATTTTCACTATTATTCTTTTTACTTTTTAGATGAAGCCTTTTCACTATTATTATTTTATTACTAAATTTACTTCATCTTATTTTTGATTTTTAGGTGAAGCATTTTCACTATTTTATTACTAGTTTTGCTCCATTTTATTATTGTTGCCATTTAGGCAAGTATTTTTCCATTATTTTATTACTAATTTACCAATATGCTACTGTTGATTTTATTATGATGTCAATAAGTAAATTCTGTTTAGATTTGAACTAAAATTATGTAAAAATGTCAGTTTTAATGTATTGGATTGACCAAAAAGTTAATTCGGTTTATTAAATAAAAACAATGTTCTCTTTTTAATATTTTAGCATTAAGTTCTTTTAACTACACACATGTATATGCTGAAGAAAGTTAATGTTGTACAAAATAATGTATGTTTTTTTTTTTATTTGATAAACTGCATCAAGTTTTTAGATGACCCAATATGTTCAATAAAGTTAATACTAAAAAAATGTTTTTTTTTTAATTAACAAACCATACAAACCGTTTGGCCAACCAATCTTTGCTTAATAAAACCTTCATTACTTTTATATATATATATATATATATATATATATATATATATATATATATATATATACATACATACTCTCTCCCGTCGAATTCAATGTATGAAGGTCAAGCAGATCAGCTTCTAGGAAACTGACAGCCCAACAACAGCACATGAGATTTGATTATAGTGGTGAAGGTTTCGTGCAGGACCATCCACACTTTTTGAAGGGCCAAATACAGAGACTTGGTGCACTACATGCCACAAGGTCCCCAACTGACCTTCCACAGGTTTTGAATTCAGAGTTGTCCTAGACCAGTTGCCATCCAAGGCTATAGAACTCAGTCTGTCCTGCTATTTGCCCATAGCTGGAGGGAGAAGAAGAAGATTCACGTCTTTCCCAAGGGTATTAGCACGTAAGTGAATGTAATGGATTCGACTGGAATTTGAACTCAGTTCTCTGATTCCTCAATCCAAGCTGCTATCTATTACTCTATCGTGCCATATGTATGTGAGTTTAACCAAAACAAATAACTGTATATCAGATTTTGTATCCTTTCTTGTCATGGGTGAATACTTTTCAGCACCCACTC